TCTAAGTAAACTGAAATGTAAGATGTAGTGTAACAGGTAAAATGCCTATCAGTGGGCAAAGCTCTGGGTCCGTCACATTTACAAAACGGGATTTGTGCAGAGGGGGTGAGTTTACCATAGTCTGGTTTCTCTGCTTTTCCAAGTTCTGTCTCTAAGAAGCACCAAGGCCCAGCCTAGAGCGGCTCTGTTTTCCTCACCCCCGTGCCTTTGATGCTCTGCGCTTCTGACTGGCAGTTGGCATGAGTTCCTTGTGTAATTTATCCTTTATGAATGCCCCTCGTCTAATGGTCTAGATGCTAATTAGAGGACCTGTGTTCTAACACAGAACTTCTTCAACTTCCATGAACATAGGACACCCCAGGAATCTTGTTGAAGTGTAAATTCTCTCTTCATTGGAGGAGGGGGCGCTGAAATTCTGCTTGTCTGACAGTCTCAGGTGATGTGACTCCGCTGGGCCACAGGCCACACTGCAAGTCTCTGGCAAACCTTCAGCAGGTGTCTCTTGATTATGCTGTTTGTTTCAAAACAGGACAAAATATTTAAATTTGATTAAATGCCTCATTTGTCTGCAATATGAACACAGCATTAGGAAGTAAACACAGATGTAAATCAATTTCTGTGACTAATGCAAGGTGTGGGGTGTCCTTTTTGTTTTTGTTTTGCTTTTTTCTGATTCCTTCATTTGATCAATGGACTTTAGCTTATCCACTGAGTAGCTGCAGATCAGATGAGATTGTATGTGGGTAGTTTCTACTTGGGCTTCACTACATTGAGGCTTTAAAACAAAAGCCTCTATAATAAAATTGGAAGACATCTCTGTTCTTGAGGCGTGAAAGAAAACATTTTAATGTAATTTTTATTGTTTTCTTTCTAATTACTGAAATCATTTATTTATTATCCCACCCCCATCCCCTGAAAAGCAAACAAACAATAAGGAAAATTATGGAAGAGAACCGAGACCCAACAAAACAAAACAAAACTGTTGCCCTAGTTCCCAGCACCATTTATGAGGTTGCCCAGGGAGAGCCAGAGGTGAGACGGATCCCCAGGGAGCCCTGGCAGGAGCCACCGTCAGGAGGGGAGCCTGGCCCAGCCTGGCCTGCGGTGCCGCGTGGGCGGAGGAAAGAATAAGGGCTGGTGGCTCAGAGTGCTAAGTGCTGAGAAGTCAGTGCTTCAGTGGCTCCTCATATGTAAGCAGGTGGCCTTTGTGAAGGGCCTTCACTATGGGCTCCCTGCTGGCTCATTCAGTGAGCCTGGGCCACCCTGGGCCACTAGCCGCTGAGTTCCTTTCCTCCCCGTGTCCTCCCGGGGTGGGAGAGGACTGACACAAAGGAGCCTTTCCACCTCTTCTCAGATTCCCTTCCTGCTACCAGTTCCTCCCAGTGTTTCCTTATCTTGTTTTAGTCGTGAATTAGTCTGATACTGCTTATCTCCAGGAATGTAAACTGCAACTGTCTCAGTTAACTCACAGCTGCATTCAAACGGAAAGCTGTTTGCACGTGAGCTTTGGTGAGCTATTGCTGAGGTTCCCCAGGGGCCAGGGAGAGGACTGTTAATAGTGCTGGGCTCCTTGTGGGAGAACAAGCCTGGATCTGTGCTGTTTTAATGGTGGCAGCTGCTTCCTTGGCCTTTCATATTATGTTCTGTTACCCTCGTTGCCTGTGGGATGAGGGCAGTGATTATAACGCGACTTTTTGTTTTGTTTCTTTGCTTCACAGCTGTCCTAGGGTGGCCCAGACAGGAGCTATACTAGTTCCTCTCTTAATATTCACTGACTTATCTATATCACTGTGGTTATGGTTACCCTATAGATTAGGGAAGCCTTTCTTTCTTTTACTTAGAATTTGCCCAAAATTAGACTAATTACAGGTGTGATTATCCACCATGTGCCACTCATTTAATGAATATATTCAATAGTTGATCACCAAGTTGTCTATCTTAAAGTTCTATAATTAGTACATTTCATGAATTCTTCCCATTTTAATTCATTTATTTCTTATTTTTTACTTTTTTTGTTAATCCTCACCCGAGGATATTTTTTTCCATTGATTTTTAGAGAGAATAGAAGGGAGGGGGAGAGACACAGAGAGAGAAACATCAATAAGAGAGATACACATTAATTGGTTGCCTCCTGCACGTGCCCCGACCAGGGCCAGAAATCAAGTCTGCAACCACAGAACATGCCCTTGAACAGAATTGAACCCATGACCCTTCAGTTCTCGGGCGACGCTCTAACCCACTGAGCCACACTAGCTGGGGCTCAATTTAATTCATTTCTTAAGTGAAAGGTGATTTTATTCTTGCATATCTCTCCCATATTGTGGAGAACTGAAACAGAATAGCTTTATAATATATTTTATCAGTTGAATAGACCCATCCTATAATCTATATAATAAAGAGGTAATATGCAAATTGACCATCACTCCAACACACAAGATGGCCACCACCATGTGGTCCAAGATGGCCACCACAAGATGGCCAGCAGGGGAGGGCAGTTGGGGGCGACCTGACTGGCAGGGGAGTGGTTAAGGGGTGATCAGGCAGGCAGCCAGGCGAGCGGTTGGGAGCCAGCAGTCCTGGATTGTGAGAAGGATGTCTGACTGCCCACCGGGATTGGGCCTAAACGGGCAGTCAGACATCCCTCGAGGGGTCCCAGATTAGAGAGGGTGCAGGCAGGGCTGAGGGACACACACACACCCTCCCCATGCACAACTTTTGTGCACCAGGCCTCTAGTTACTCAATAATCAATAATGTTCTTTTTAATGCACACAGCAATAGAATAATTACATATACTTACTCTTCCTTGTTTTCAGCATTTTGCTAATCACCATTCTACTTAGTGCATTTTTCCACCTCTCAGATGTAGAGGTCATTCTTCAAGCAGAACGCTTCCTCCCGCTGCAGGACTACCTGAGCTGAATGTTTAGTGCTTGTGATGAGCTGGCACTGACCAAGAATTCGACGGGTTGGGGCTGAGCAGGCAGGTAGATGTGGGGAGTGAATAAGGGGGTGATTTTGTGGAGCTTGGAAGATTGTTTAAACCCCTCATGCACGCTGTACTCAGTTCTAAACAATTATTTGTGGTATTCAATGAAAATCACATGCTGGTACTTGGTGTTGGTTTTATGTGTCTGACACTCATTTTGGCTTCATCAAGGGTGGTTGGTGCCTGGGCCTGAGGATGGTTTTCACTACAGAGTCCAAGGAGAGGGAGGAGCAGGAGTCCAGGAGATGGAGGGGACATGGTCTGTGGGGACCCAGTGAGCTTTCACTTTTAGTATTGCAGTATTTTTTACTTTCCTAGGCATAGCTAATATTTTACAGTAATCACAAAGTATTACTATAAAATCAAAGTATCAATGCATTTCCCTAAAAAAATTATCCAAAATGAAAGACTGAATTTTAACAGCAGCTGTGAAGTGAACACTTGCTATTCTATATCTTTATGCTTCATCGCTACCAGTCATCTAAACACAATACACTGTACCAGGAAACGTGGCTTGGGAACCCAGACACCCTGAGTGACCCCTCACCTCCATGACCACTGACCTCAAGAGGCCTCACAGCTGCTCAGCAGTCTCAGCATGATTTAATTTCATTAAAATTATTTCTGTTCATCAGAAAACATACTTAAAAACTCAGAGGCAAGCTACATACTGGGAAAAGATATTCGCATCATATATAACTGATAAAAAATAGAAGTTAGAATATAGTAAGAATAACATTCAAAAGAAAAAAACAACCTAATAGAGGAATGGAGAAAGACAAGAATGGGCACTTTACAGAAGAGGCTGTATATGAAAGACACTCAGCTTCTTTAGTTACCAGGGAAAGGTGGACCAAGGCCATGATGCTATCCATACCCACCGGAATGGCAACGCTAAACTCACCTAGCATCAGAGGTTGGCTTTTATGTGGGTGGTGGGAATTCTTGTGCTCAGGTGGGTGAGGGAAATAGTTATAACCACTTAAGAAAATGGTTGGGCCCTAGCCGGTTTGGCTCAGTGAATAGAGCATCGGCCTGTGGACTGAAGGGTTCCGAGTTCGATTCCTACCAAGGGCACGTGCCCGGGTTGTGGGCTCGAACCCCTATAGGTGGCATACTGGCGGCAGCCAATCAATGATTCCCTCTCATCATTGGTGTTTCTATCTCTCTCTCCGTATCCCTTCTTCTCTGAAATCAGTAAAAATACATTTTTTAAAAAGGAAATGAAATGGTCGGCAGTGCTTAGTAAAATAGAACACCCATGTGCCCTAGAATTCCAGAAAAACTATACGTTTGCACCACACCCTGTCCAAGAATGCTGTCGCAGAATGTATATCTGTGGAACCTGTGTGTATGTGTGAAAGTGTGTGTGTGTAGGAGAGAGGGAGAGGGAGAAGGAGAGAGAGCAGGAGAGGAGGAAAAGAGTAAATTAGTTGAAGGTCCTTCAGCA